CACCGACAGAGACAGTGTTAGGCATTTCCATGCACTGGTAGTCTATAGCACACAGCAACAGTGCCTTCCATCGAGGTAAGACTCAAACACTTCATATTTTGATGGCCAGCAAAAACCTGCCATATTTCAGAAGTCCCCATGGCGAAAGGCAAAGAACCGAAAGGTGTCCAGAACCGCATAATCTACTCTAGAGCATCGTACCTCTATCAAGCTGCCTCATATCTTACTAAACAATCCTCGACTGGGCAAGATGCTACAGCAAAATCATCAACCCCAAGCCACGGGCACAGTGTTTCCCCTGGAACGATTACTGAGGAAAGAGCACTGAAGAATATGTCTCGTCAGGCCATTTCAGACCTGCGAGCTGTGACTCTCAAAGCACAAATACGGCGAAGTCCGGCTATGAAGCAAACTATTTGCAAGTTTTGCGACACTCTACTAGTTGAGGGTGACACCTGTACATCAACCGTGGAGAACGCGAGCAAAGGAGGGCGGAAGCCATGGGCTGATATTTTAAATATCAACTGCAAGACTTGTGGTAATGTCAAGAGATACCCGGTCTGTGCCCCGAGACAAAAGCGGAAGCACATGCGACAGCTTGATTACAAAGAAGGCACAGAACATAGCAGCAATGAATCGATAGTACAGGGGCCGACTACCCAGACAACACCACACGAATCGCCCATCTCGACACCAGGCCAAACGCCGGGACCTTGAAGAAAACAAGAGGGAGCCAAAGTCGTTCGAGCCACGAATAGACCGATGTCGTGTTCAAGGACCAAGCCCAGCTTAAGTCGTATCCACAGAAATCACATCGAGCCAGAGGCTGGAAAAGCTGCTTGTGTCTTGACTTAGAACATGATTGAACATCGAAATTGCACTGTGCCCGCTGCACTCCAACATATGTGTTCTCAGTTATCTCCATCGCAGTTCGAGCTTTCTAGCTGGAGGTTGCCATCCTCTTGTAGCATATTTTTATGCTGACAACGGACAACAGAGCAGGAACTTTAGGAAGCCGCCTGGCCATGAGAAGAAGGCCAGGAGCACCGGATGACCACAAGAAGATATTAAATGCTATAATTTTGCCTGGCTCTTACATATCAGTCAGCTGAAAGCATGACCTCTTGCTGAGAGGATGACCTTTTTGACAGGAGCGGTTTGGGAGCAATTTGCGATACACCTAATGGAACATAACTCATGCTGCATTTTCGCCACCCCTGGTCAAGATATCAATTTTCTGTCTCTTCCAGTCGGCTGTTCGATTCCTACTTTCCTGGCTGTCCAGCTTCTTTGACACTTTCCTCTCCTAAGACCTTGCTTGCTGCCATGAACCTATCCAACAAGTCAGCGACTCTGCTCCCTACATACACCGCCACCATCGACCGGATTGAAAACACTCACAAACCTCCATGCCAACTACCAAGTCCACGCATAGCTTCTGCTTGGACACTTGTCATCCGTAGCAAGTTCTCGGTGTCAGACAGATTTGACGACAACTGTGCGAGTTGAGAATTTAATTGTGCCTGGGTCAAGTTAGAGATCATTATCAATGCTGCTTTCATTTAGAACAGGACCACTCTGCAACCCGAGTCCCTAAAGTCACATGATCAAGGAGTTGATTGATAACTACCATTGATATAAAAAGAGTAGAGAGAACTTACGAGTTGTCGTGTCTTGACAGCACTTCCACTAGTGGCCATGCTCTGCCGCACCTGTGAACCGCTCACGTTCCGCGTCGCCATTGCTTTGTTGGATGTGATGTGGTAAAATTTCTCCCTAACTTCGAATCTACTTGCGAACTGGTGACGACGAGATGCCCTCTCTTATGGGTGAAGGATCATCCGTCACCTAGAGTTCAGAAGGAGGAATACTCGGGAGTAAGAAAAGGACTAAAGGCTTCTTTTGTTGAATGTTTGTGTATTCGAGGCAGTCTTCTGGAGATACAATTACGCGGACCTTACTAGAGCTACTCTCGTTAGGTACTTGTAGGTGTTCAAGGTTGGTAGGCCTGATGGAATAAAATGCACCTGGGGAAAGGTAGGTAGTGAGTTGGGGTTTGTTTACGGTTACAATATGGATCCAAACAGTACTAGGACTAAAATGACCCGTGCGTTTCCACCTCATTGATTGGTTCAGCAATATACCTTATATGAAAGCAGTCTGTTTCAACATTCAAACAACAGCTTACCTACGTACCTACAGTATCCCAGGGCCAACACTAAATCATTCTTCAATTGCGCTATTCAATCCAACTCCAATCCTTTCTTTTTGCGCGTCGTCTTGTCGCAAACAGGGAGGGATCTGATGATATTCATCTGATGTAGTGATTATGTACTCCGCATTATATCCCGGGTCAAGTAAAGGGTGTTGACCTTCACCAGAAGATCCTTGTTGACTGTAGGCTGACAACTGAATGCTCACAATATTCAGGGATTTTTACATTAAAAAGGAGCGAATGATGTCTGCCTAGCAGCCTAAGGTAGAAGAGCACTGTGATCGAAAGAGGCCCCTATGTACCTCTTAGCTGTAGGTATCCCTAGTGGTTTAATATCCTACTTCGTTTGTTCCTTCGACGTCATAACTGCTAACAACGACTTGGTCAGTGCAGCTTGTCTACGGCGCGAAGGAATTGACTGTAGATCAGGGGATCGTGGTTTGCCAACTATACGTAAATGGCCAGATGAGCTAGCCGTGGTGTAGTCTGGGCCTATTAGGATGTTGAGTAACCAAGGCTCAGTGTCGACAAGATAAATCCTTTCTGGAGACACGCGCAGATCGACATACTATGTATGTATTTATATCTAGACATCAAGCCCCCTACACACAAGCAGGTTGAGTTGATTTTAAGCTTAATTGAGCCTTATTGATTTGTTGTGTCATCTTTGCCTCCGTCTTCGAACATGAAAGCAGCTCTCCGAATTCTTGCTTTGATCTCCTCGGCCATCGCATTTGATGGTCGATACGGGACGGGTGGAAGCCCTGGTAACATGAGCGAGCAAGCATGGCAGTCTGCCTTCGAGAATCCCAACGCAACGGGGACATATACATTTAAGGCGTATAATGTATCGGAAAGATTCCCGCCAAACAAAACCGTTGATGGATGGACAGCTACCATTCGCGTAGCCAATATTACGGATGACCCCGGTGACGATACACCTTATCCCGGCATCGACATAAGTGTTCAAGCACCAGAGGGAATGAGAGTTCCAACATTGAATAGCAGTCGCACGAACTCTTCAGACTGGCATGTGTGTGTTGCTTTGTGGGGACCCAGTCGCCTGAAGGATGAAGCAACTGACGATGCACAACACGACGATGGAGACTGCAGCTCGTTCCTTGACGAAGATTGCCTAGAGGCCTTGAACACAGAAGCAGCTGGACATTACTGGAACGGCGAGGAGTGCGCAATGCTGCCACATATGCCAGTTAAATGTGAGAAGTATTACAAAGACTACGGCCCAACGTATGGCGGAGTTCGTAAGTATAGCTTCACGACGTGTTCGAGAAAAGGACACTGACCCGCGATATAGCTGGAGCGAATCTGAGCCAGTTTGGAAGTGGAAAGACCTTGATCAGCCAACGTCCACAAACGGCTGGAGAATACAGTGCAATGACACAAGAGGAGGCATATGACTATGCTGTGCGTGGTGTCTGGACTGTAATGATCAACTGGGGTCGTCGTGACCCCGACACATATAGCCTGGACGATGTTTTGCAGCCTTCGCTGTTGTGTCTGCGCCCTAGGAATATCACTGGAGGTAGTGAGGATCCCAACGATGGCACAAGAACAACTTGCTATGTACCTCTGGCTGTTTTCTCAGCTTTCATGGCCACACTATTGTTGGCATATTGAGTTGAAGTACAGTAGTAAAGTGGCTCTTTGCCGGATTCTAAGAGAATTGGGCAGTGGGTATTGTTGACTATCAGGCTGCTTCTGGCTTGGCCTTCAGGTAAATATATCATTCGGCTTATGATATCAATGGTTTCTCAAACGTGATATAGAAATCTTTGGCCATCATTTCATCACTTTTCTCTTCCATACTACTATTTCGTACTCTATATATTTCCAATACCTAGGAATGCTCCCAATGCCGTGGATGGCTTTCCTATTCACATTCCACAGCGTCTCGCGATGAACAGATTAACCAGAAAAAGAAACAACCATCCGTAGTCTAATTCGATTGTATAACCCCGCCAAGAAACACAATGCCTATCGTGATCCCTCCTCATTTGCTAAGTCCATTTGACCTTTCGTGACATGTCCACGCAAACTTCTGGGGGGCGCTTCAACAATCAAAGAAAAACAAAGACTTGCTCTCAGCTGGTGCAATGCCTTTGATCTCAACCCACCCACTTCCTCGTTTTTCCGCCGGCACATTCATTATTCAGTCCCGACCTGCCTTCTGCAAGGCGGGCTTAGCGTTCTCCGAAATTCTCTTCCTTGCGCGAGGCTCTCCCAATATGTCAAAGCAGAACCAAGACTCGGCCGTCTCATGAGCAGAGCCTTGAATTATTGAGAGTCGATTATATGCTGAAAGGCACCAATATATCTTCCCCAATTCCAATGCATTATTACCAAGGTTAGACTACTTCTGTTTGGTTGTTCAATGTATGTACGGATTGTGTCGATAGGAATAATTAAAAAGACATTGTGTCTGAGAATAGTCCAAAGTGACTGTGACTTTTGTCGTGTCGTTTCGTGTTTTCGATGGAACTCGGGCGTATAGTAAAAACAAAATGAAATAGGGCCGTCCTCGTCGAGGTGTGTCGTATAGTTGTTCAAGCCAGATGCATAGATGTAGTACACATGGCGTCAACCGGGCTTCGCGACGGGACGAATAAACGATCCCGTTTAAGCGATGCAGAAAGCATGACCGGAACTCCGGAACTGCGAAAACAAGAATATCAAAGCCTTGCTGGACTAACGTCATGGATGGGACGGTGTGTTGGAATCTGATGTCCTAGGTACTCCGTTGTATATTATCGCCGTGTAGAGCGTCCTAACGCACACCGATCGGCGGTCGTGGAGGCAAGCTGCCTTGGCTGCTGTTTGCAGACTGTTCGGAATCAAATTCACCACTGCCCGCGCTGGCGCTCGCACTACCCGTCAGACTGCGAACATTCCTAGGCTTAGTTTGGTGGAGGGCGCTCACCCCAATATGTTGTTCAACTTGCTGTGGTGCTACTGAGTTACCGTGACCGGGTGGGTGACGAGGGACAGGTTGGCGAACACCATCCGGGGGTGAAGGTCGGCCGTTCATGCCCAGGCCTGGGCCGTAGCCACCCGGAGGCGATCCCCGTCGGCTACCGCCTCGCATTGATGGAGTATAAGGGTTCCCAGGAGACTGACTGGCGCGCCGGGGATAGGCACCATTCATCCCGGGTGGTCCACCGGGACCTGGGCCGTACTGCATATCGTCAAGCCTTGACGCTGTTAGTGAGTTTGCTCGAGAGCCTGCGTTCATCGCTCCACGGTCAACGGATCCATAACGATCCGAAGAGCAGCTCATGAGGGGGTCTTCCAGGATGTTTTCAGAAGTCATGGAGCTGTGACCAACTTGGGAAGATCGATTGCGGCCGAAGTTGGGCCTGAATCGGCCGCCTCGTGTAGGAGGCGGCATATCATCGGGATTACGGCGAAACTGGCCAGGGGTTGGTCCTGGAGCCTTTCGATTCTTTCTCGATGTAACGCTCATCATATCGAAGTTGTCTGGATCGATCAGCGGAGGACCAGGGTTGGCAGTAGGATCAAAGTAATCGTCGTCGTCATCATCGTCTTCGTCGAACACCTGCTTGCTGTTGCGCATAGGATGAGGGCCACGACGAGGTCCAGCTCCGGGAGGGCCAGGTGGCGGTCCACGGCGCATTCGGATTTCTTGCTCACGAAGTGCCATTTCACGCTGCCGTAAAGCCAACTCTCGTTCTCTGAGATTAATGTCTGCTGGATCACCATTGACAGATGGCTCGGAACCTTCGGGAATATCGTCATAAAGAACGAGATGGGAGAATTCTTCCAGGTTAGTCTCCTCCAACGAGCCTCTCCTTGAAGGTTGACGAGATCCAGGACCGTTCATCGGAGGTCGACCATAACCATTGGGTGGTCCGCCGTTCATCGGAGGAGGTCCACGGCGCATACCGCCTTGGCTGTAGTTGGAAGAGTTCCGAGGTCTGGGCTGGCGAGGGGGCATACCATTTCCGTTGGGCATACCGTTCATCATGGGTCGATGGCTGTTTTGTGAAGGCATTCGAGGCACAGGTGCGGCAGAGGGCGACGCGGGTGGTATGATATTCGCGTTCGGGTCGCCAGGTTTGGGTCTGCTGCGGTTGACCAGGTTAAGGTTATGAAGAATCGAATAAAGCGTCTCGATACGAGGAAGCGAAATATTCGAGTCTCTAGCCAGTTTGACGGGCGATCCTAGATACGTCTCAACCTCCATAGGTCTTCGAGCAACGTAATCCTGCCACATTATGCTCTCTCCGGAAGCTTTCGACATCTCATCGATCGTCTTCTGCTTGAAATCGGGATCAAATTTGCATCCATTAGCATCAGCTAGACGAAGCAACTCGTCAATGACCTCCGATACCATGTCCCTAACGCCAACCTTTTCCAAGAGCGAGGCATGGTTGGGAGTTTCGAAGATAACGCTAATCGGATGGAACGCAATAGGACTGCATCGTCAATTAGCTGAGTTTCAAGGCGCTTAGATGAGAGGCAAACCCTATCACTCTCTCGTATTGCTGCTGGCGGATATTTGGCGAGACTTTGCATTCCACTTGGCCAGAACTAAGTGTCATGGCTAAGGCCTGTGCCATGTCCTCCTGGATGGTTTGTGGGATATTGTTGGGGTTATTAGCAGGACCAATCCAAATATCTGCTGGGCCCTTATGTTCAAATTCACTCTGGCCAAGTTGTGTGAGCTCAGCACCTGAAACAAGTGATAGGACCACATTGGTAGGAAACCGCTCCTCCAAAGCAGCCTCGACTCCGAGAGTATGTGTTGTGTTGACGATGATGCATGTATGCTGGGGGGTCACGACCGAGTCAATGACTGAAGCGAGATCGTAGACATCGGGTAACGCCTTGACGCAGAGTACGACATAATCGAATGGGCCGTCTCGAGCGCTCGCGGCATCCTCGGGATTTCGAACAACTTGAAATGTTATCTCAGCATGCTGGACGAAAGCAAGGGGTTTGTTGAACTGTACCATGTCGAGGCTTGAATCTCTCGTTGCCAAATATTGGGGATCTTGATTGACAATCAGCATATTGTTGGAGTCATAGCGCATTGATTCACATACTTGAACGAGATACCGTATTGTGCCACATGCTCGTAACCAGACTTCCAAACGAGCGTCACATCACACGCGTTGGTGGCCTGGAGCCTCCATGATAGGAACGCCGAGACGGGATTGCCTCCCACTGAACAGACTGACATTAGCTCACTGCCGGCCATGATGAGCGACAAGAGTGGGACGCTGCACGAGCAACCGTCCGGACGGTTGACGTGAGGATTTCAAGACAAACGAGTGAAAGGTAGACAATGGACAGAAAATATTTTGAAAGACTGTGTCAACTGATGAAGGATTGGGAGGAATCAGTTGATCTGAAATGACGCGAGCGTCCACTTCTGGGTTTTGCGTGAACTAACCCTAGCTATGAAGGGAGAATTGTAAGAGAAGAGACGACAAACCTGATAGAATCTTGAGCCGGGGCGATACAGGCGCCATAATGTCTGGCGGGTCCTAATATGGAATAGTGGCCTGGTCCAGTCTGAGGGTGTAGCGGAGCGGTTTCTAACGACGGACCCGTAGTCTTGGGGGCGTATATTGGGTACCACAACACAACAAGATCGGGACTGATGGAAGTACCTGTCTAAACAAGGATAGGCTCAAACTGACGATGATTACCGTTTATTGTGAGTAGCGATGCGGGCGACGAGGATCCAAGAGACGATAGCGTAGTTCAGTTGTGCATGTAGCAGCTCGGGAGAAGCAAGCTATCGAATGGGAACGAGGCCAGCGAGGCGTCGGTGGACGACAAGACGGCAGTGATAGTGACAGCCAGCCGTAGAATCAACGAGCGACAGGGCCTAAATCGTGGCGTAGGCGGCAGGATGGCGTACCGGGGGGGAAGCACAGCGGCGTCTCGTGCGTCAACTGTCGATAGGCAATGAAGGAGCAAGAAATCTACAAGCGGCCAGTGGTGAGTGTGATGAGTGGGACGAGAGCTGAGATGGCCTCGGTGGACGGTGCACCTAACGGGGGGTGGGAAATTGTCCGGGGATTGTAGTCGGACGGACTGTAGGAGCGAGAGTGGGCTGAGCTGAGAACCTGCAACGAATTGGGCCCTTGTTCAAGCTTAGAAATCTCACAGCGGGCGCGGAAGAAGCTGCGTGGACTTGGCTCTAGGAGGATTTATCGGTACGAGTACGCCGGGCCCCCGACTGTCCCTTTTTGCGATCGACTAGGCTTACAGGTTCAGGCCTGTACTGTGCTGCGTTGCCTTGACGAAATTAATCAGCTTCGGGTTGATGAAAGAGAGGGTCGCTTGGTCTTTGGTGTGTTGTGTGTTTCGCCTGTAAATGATGATATGGCCCGTGAATGATTGGGCCTCGATTTGAATTGAGGTGGCAGGGGGGGTAAGGCGCCGCCGAGAGAGAAAACTCAAGTAGTGCAGTGCCTACCTGAAGTGTACTTGGCAGAGACAACCACTGTAGGTAATTTCTCTGGGGACCGGGGTGTTCAAGATGTTCTGGAGAGGCTAGACAATTTTGACAAGAGGAAAGTGAGAGGAGGCGTGTGGGAGAAAGAGAAGATGCGAGTGGACAACAGACCAGTAAAGATAGGCCAAGTCAAGAACCAAGGGGGGCCGAGCTTTGCAAGGGGCCAGCGAAACAGAGCAACAAGCAAAGCAAGCAAGCAACAAGTGCGTATGTAGCAAGCAGGTATGTGAAAGAGAGGCTTAGATACAAGGGAAATAAGACAAGGGGGGACCCCGGCCGGAGGCGGCGGCATGTACGATATGCGGGAGTGGCTCAGTCCGACTGAAGGTAGCTTGATGAAGGAAGAGAACGATATCATGAGCTGCAGCCTGCCAGTGGTTGGGAGGCTCAAATTACATGGCAGACATGTGAGTGTGTGATGAGATGCAATGCGATGCGAGGATATGGTTCAAAAAGGAATCCGCCCCAAAAAATGCAAACCCCCGTATTCGATTCTGCTGTGCCCAGAAAAAAAAATGCCAATGGCAAACAGGTTGGGGAATAGGCAGAGATGGCTAGAAAGAGGGGTGTGTGATGAAGGGATGGAAGAAGGATTTGAATTCATGATGAAGCAGAGACTATCCACTTGCTCCATGAAACTCAATTGGAGAACCAGGGCAGTAACGCATAAGGCTTCAGGCCAAGCAAGCATTTCACAACAATAGCAAAAAATCAACTCACTGTTTCTCTTTTGTCCCTCACAATAGAATTATTATTCGCAACTCAAGGATAGGCCGGCCGGCCAGTGGTGTGGCAGCAGTGACGAATGGTGACGAGGACGGGGGACTCGGAAGACCTTCGTTTCGAGATACGTTGCTGGAGCTAACGAGGATCGTTGCGGAGCGGCCGGAAGTTGAGGACCCAATGCCACGAGGAAAATACGCGCAAGCTTAAGGTTGAATTAAAATCCTCCTCCGTAATCCGTACTGGAAGAGAACGAGCCCAGCTGAGGATTGATTGCACAACTGACTGCCGGAATACCGTTGAAGTCCGTAAACAGCTTTCAAAAGATCCGCCGCTAAAGACCCAAAGAACTCAATTCAAGTGTCTCGGTGTGGTTTTTTTTTTTCGTCCCGTTCAGAAGTAAACACTTTGGCCAAACATCGAAGTTTCCTAACAGTTTAGGATCCAATGCCCCAGGGTTTGAAAACTATTACTGAATGTTGCTTATTGTAAACATCGGTCTTATTCGTCGTTGATTCTCCGTTCGATCGTTGCGTTTCGCATTTATTTTCTCTTGGATCGAGTAGGTAGCTCGCTTTGTCGTCGCGCGTCGTCTGGTCTCCGCTCTCGCTTTCTTTTCAGCTTGGGTGGTCAAATGTTCCCCGGACGCCACACAACCCGAAAGATTAAGAAAGAAAAAGACCGAATCTCACGTCGGCTGCGGTTCGTCTTTGATGCAGCAAACAGAATCTACACTGTTCAAAAGAGAGCGAGCGAGAGGGTGAAGAGGAGAAGTTTCTGTCCAGTCAAGGGAGAAGTAAACGAGGGGAATCAATCACGCACAGTCAAATGAATACGAAGCAAACCCCAGAAGCGAGAAGTCAGTTACCAGCAATTGCTTGGTTAGTACGAATAGATGGGACCCTAACTGGATTGCCCTCAATCCGTCCAAACCCAAATCTTCCCGACTTTGCCCTTGTCTTTCACCCTCCATCGCCGTCCGTTGTCCAAATTCCTTATCATGATCCCTACCAACATCATTCTTCCTAACATCCGCGTCGTGCGGCACGGGGTTGCGCTGATATTGGAGCAGACCATCTGACGCCGCGAAGACGGGTAAATTGATGTTGGTGGCCGGTAATTAGGTTTGATGATGAGCCGAATATGCAGATACCCAGGCTTGGGACCTCGATAGATCTCCTGGCTCCAATATTGTGCAAGCTTTCCATGAGAGTTGGCTGTATACTACGCAGACCAGACATAGCATGATCCATAATACCAGTCTACTATATGGGTAGTCGGACAGCCAACAACGGCTGCAGTACGACACAAGGCTCACATCAAAACTCCTTGAGTTGCATGGTAATCAAACAATTGCTTGACATCCATGGGTGGGTGGCTGCATTAAGAACCCATTATGCCTAGAAAACCCTAGTGTATCTGGCGGTTTAGACATCGTATTGACTAGTTCACGGTTCACCAAAGTTAATATCAAGACAAGCACATGCAAAGATAAACCCCTCTCATTTAGAGTGCAGAACGACCCTGCCGAGCTGCCAACAAAACAACAGGATGTGACCTACATAGTATCTTAAGTTCAAGCACCGTGGAGCATCACACAACACGATGTACATACGCATCCCACATGCTGCGCCCCAGAGGAGCCAAGTACTGTATAATCAAGTGGATAAGTTCAATGGAACAGTTCCCCATCGTTAATAAACCCTTCCACCAACCGGGAATTTCAAGTCCTCCGTTTCCATGTGCGGTCCTCCTATCTCACACAATAAGAAACTAACGCTTGGGTTTGCTATACGCCGTTCCAAAAATAGTAAAGTTGTTCAAGGTACTGTGTATATGATAAGGTAAGTTTTAACAAAATCTATATACCTAGTAAAAAAAATCTTCGAAATAGAAGTTGGATGTGGGTTTCAAAACATTGGATGTCTGTGCTGTGGGAATGCTTTCCTGGCTGCAATGGGTTTAATAAAACAAATCCATTCATGCCAGTCTATGATGAATTGTGTGTGCTTCGTTTCAAAGGCCATTGCTTGATTTGGTTAGTGGGTAAGTTACTAGACAGCTACTGCAATACCTCTCGGTCAGGTAAATCCCATGCTGTGGTCAAAATACGATATGCATCAAATATCCTCCTCCATACCTCAATTGAAGCCCTGCAAAGGATTGTAGGATTGTGTCTTTCTGGGTAGTTCGACCACAGCTAAGCTATGCAAACCAGATAACCGCAGAATTTGAAGAGCCTGTCTTACCACATCAGCGTCGCCTCAAACTCTATGCCGGAAGAGGGATGGAGTTGTTCCATCTCCAAGCAAAAGTAACTCCAGTAACCAGTTATAAATCCCATCCCACGGAGCAGTGACCTTGATACGCGTGTTCTCCGTCGCCATGGCTCAATTACCAGGGCCATCAGGGGTTAAACTTGTCTTCCCGCAGTGCCAAGCTGGATAACAGCCCGCTACTTGGCAGAAAATGGTTAACGTCGGATACGGGGAAACCGGCCACCCCCAG